GTTAACAGTTTTAGGTTAGCAACCTTCTAGAGAACGGATTAACCGGACCTATACATGTGTACTGTAATTTCTATTCGTGTAAAATAATAACTTACACTTTGTCACTAATAACAGTGACTGTTAGTGGTGACGAAATGGATTTGATATTGGTGACGAATTGGGGTTTTGGTGACGAACGGGGTCGGTGACGATGTGGATTGGTGACGAAATGGGGTGTATCCAGTACATGTAAAAAAAAAAAACGAATAATAAAATACTATACGTCTGTACAGTGGGGTATGCTATAACGAATCTAATTGGTTCTAGAACCTTGTTCGTTATAGCATTCGTTCGTTATAGGGTTAATCCGTTCCAGGCCCCCAAATACAACCACTTAACACTGAAAAATATAATATAAAATTGTAAAAATTGTAAAAAAGTGCATAAATATGCATCTAAACCCCTGAAATAAAGAATATCATTAATATTTGTAATAAAAAAATTATAAATTCGAAAAAAAAAAAAATTAAATAATGTTCGTTGTAGGAGTTTCGTTCGTTATAGCATTCTCAATTTTATAGGTAAAACCGTTCGTTATAGGAATATTCGTAGTAGGATCCGTTCGTTATAGCATACCCCACTGTATAGCAATCTTAGTACTAATTGACTGCATAACATTGATTCAGTATGTGTTTTATATTATTAATGTTGAAGTCAGATTTGAAATGAGTCATAACATCATTGTAGTTTTTTTCTTTTGTCCTTGCTGGCTACTATATTTATATGTTATACCTTCTTACAAGGTAATTTGAAAGTCATGGATGAAAACAAATATAATTTATCAATTCTATTTTTAGCCAAAAATAATTTATCAGACTTGGACAAATATTTTGTTTATTTATAATTCGTATGACTTGGACAAATATTTTGTTTATTTATAATTCGTATTACATTGGTTACTCCTTAAAGCATACAGGTAATACCCTCAGGTATCTTTAATAACTAAATAGTAATGAAAAAAGGGAATCCTGCATAGTAATTAATATAATTGTGTATTAATTCTGTTTTTTTTATTTACTTCAAGAATGCAGCAACAGAACGTTTTGCAGAGCAAGCAGAAAATACCATAAGAGTCAACTACTTTGGTACCTTGGCAGTGTGCCATGCCCTCTTTCCTCTGCTGAGACCTCATGCTCGGGTAGCTACGGTTTCCAGCTCCCGTGGCCACCTTTCAAGAATTATTGGAAATGAACCTCAAGCTACTGCCCTCAGGAACAAGTTTGCATCACCCACTTTAACAGAACAAGAACTTGGTGACCTTATGAATCAATTTATCATGTAAGTATATACAGTATATAAGATTTTATGTATATAGACATTACTTAAATTAAATAGAATATTAAACAATTTGAAACCAAACTGATAATAATGATTAACACATGTGACAATCTTGACCTTTGGATGTTATCTTTTACGGAGAGACCTGTAAGGCTCTCAACAGTGTGCACTTCTGTATGTTATCTTGTGAAAAAATAAAATAGTTTTTCTGCATGTACTGTTGACAAAGTCTGACCCCTCATAGACAAAGGATAAAATAGATCATTTAGTAATACAGTAGACCTTAGATATTTGTGGGAGTTCGGTTCTTGAAAAATCCTGTGAATCCAGAAATCTCTAATGTGCAGTCGATCAAAAAACTATTTGTAATTGGGGGGTCAAAGAATTTCATAATGAACACTGTGACTCCTGTTGTCTTGGTAGGGTTGTCAAAATCCTTCATCTGTTGTGTCATATTGCCAAACAATTTTGTAAGGTTGGGTTTTTGATCGACTGTACAAATTTTAGTTTCTGGTGTATTTAAACATTGAGGAGGAAATTATAAATGTTTAAGAACAATGGCACCCACAAGCACGGTATCTGTAAATAATATTAATCTGTAGAAAGTACAGTAATGTTTTTTGCTTATCTCTGATGACGATAATGATTTGAGGTGTTCTGTATCAGTTACAAGTGCAAATCACTATCAGAAAACTTAAAGATTGCAAAATTATGAAAACAAATGAGGGAGCATCACTTCTCTAACGTTCGTAACACAGGCCGACTGATTGGGAAAGCGACTGAATATGGCTGTAAACTCGATGCTTACACTGATCTAGATCCATTCGACATAATTATCTGTTCTTGCTGTATTCACCATTAACTTAAAAATATTTGTACATTTTCTATATTATTTGCTAAGATTCCATACATACTTTTACTTTTTACTTTTACCCTTTTCATCACTGATCGTCTCGTTAGCCACTTGGGCGTTTGGTCACGTCTCTGTTACGCACTGTTGGCAAGTGCTGGGCATGCATTGGCTCCTGAATGTATCTGAACCTGCTCCAGTATTGGTCAAGTCTGGTCTTGAAGGAGCTCACACTCGGTGCTGTCACAATGAGCACTTACACAGGGGAGAAAGGTTGAGAAACTTTATCGGCCTGTATCTCAAAATTAACTTTTCTAACACTCAGATTGGAATTTCTCTGCCAATTTTTGACCGATTTCAATGAAACAAACACTCAGCACAGGAAGAACCCTTCCTCAACATAATTCCAGAGTCCAATTTTTATTAGATGTTTTAATTGCCTGTACAGTATGTTGGCCTGGCAAGTTAATGCTAGGCATTTACACATCTAGGTATAAAGCTAGATGTCGCATTCTGGACTATATCACAAAAACTGTTTTCAGAAAAATAAGTCGTTTTGGTTGAATATTTAATCTCGATATTTTGACAAAAATTTCAACCAAACTTGAAATTTTTTTATTCATAAAACCATATAAAAACAAACATATCGCTCTGGACTGTTCAATGACAATACTATATTCTTAGTACTATCAATTTCAAGGCAAAATAGAAAGAAGTAATGGAGAAATTATGCCCTGAAAATTTAGACATATGAGAAAATGTGTAAAAGGTTGAAAGTTTTGAAAGGGTAGAAGGGGGTTATTATGTTAGAATTGATGTACAGGTGCTCCTCTACTTAAGAACGTTCAACTTACACACTTTCAGAGATACAAACATCATCACTGAGGAGAGTTACCTGCCAGAACAGGTGTTTAATGTGGATGAGACTGGATTATTTTGAAGAAAATTCCAGATAGAACAAACATTACCTAAGAGGAGAAGAGTGAGCCAGGTTTTAAGGCTGTATTAAAGGGTATAGCTGTACTAAATATCCATAATCTTTTCATTTTTTACAACATGTTTGGTATCTACAAGAGTAAAGTTGGACTTACAAACAATTGGACTTACAAGCAAGCCTCAGGAACGTAACTCGTTCGTAAGTAGAGGAGCACCTGTACATATTATCCTTGATTGATGACAGGAATATCATAACAACCGACCAAAATTAAAAGCACCTACACCAAAGACCGGACTCTCCTCTTTAACACACGTAAAATGAAGTAAAACCTAGATTTAGATCCAGAGTTCAAGAGACCTAGTAGTTACCGTAGTTGAGTGGCCAAAGCGTATGGCATCAATGATCCAGTCTCTGTTTATTCTGAACATATCTCTATTTCTAGTGATTTAATGAGAGTTTTTCTAGTAAACTAAAGTAGATTATTTTAAGTGGTTATTCAATTATTCAAATACTGTATACCTGTAGTTCGTAAATTTTTTTTTACATCAAAATGTGGAATTCAACATACTAAATATGGCGTGGAGGTTAAATTAATAGTGAAAATTTAACTTTATGTAATATAGAATAATGAATAATGTAAAAAAATTACTTTCTCTGATTTTTAAGTACAGTATTGTATCCTGTAAATTTGAAAGCAGTTTGTAGAAAGTGAATTTGATTTACCCACAATGCACTGTTGCAATAAATGACATTGCTTGGATTGTAATGTTTCGCCCCCCAAATAAAAGGATTTTTAACCCCTTGAAAAATCGCAAATAAGTACTGTACTAGAGGTTGGGTGTCGCAAAAGGTGACTAGGTATACATTTACTAAATCACAAATACCCAAGCAAAATTCGCGAATCCAGAAACATGGAGATCGAGGGTTTATTATATAATTAAATTTTTGTTTACAAGAAAAAGATTCAAGGAACATTATTTGTACAGGTATTTGTGTGTTAGGTCTCCATTACTGTATTTTACCTTTGTCTGAAGAGGTTAATGTATTAAACAACTTCCAGTAGATTAGTTGTGGATGTTAAAAGTAAAAAATGAGAAGGTCTGTCATGTGTTAACAGAGAGAGTATTTTTTTAAATTTATTTATTTATTTTTTATTATACTGCATTATTATTATTTTTTTACATAGTCACTGTGCTCATTTTTGGTAATTCTTCTGTATGTGCATTAATGAAGACCATAATTGAGGAAGAAGGACAGATTGCAATACAGTAGTAATGTTCATACAAAGGATATTTGTGGACAGCTCCTCATACAATGTACAGTAATTACTAGAAGATGATGATGATGTAATGATGTTGTCTGTTTCTATGTTTCAACTTGCTTATGAGTACAGTAATTTGTTTTAAGCTTTGATCATTGAATTGTGTAGGAATGTTCTTCAGACAATAGAGCATCAGTGATACTAAGGCATATATTTTATTATTCATAGATCAGCTTTATTGAAAATGTATTATCCTTTTATATCTTAGTGGTGTTGACCATAATATTATGTTTACCCATATATGTTATCTCAGAAAGGCTAAAGAAGGAACCTGGAAAGAAGCTGGATGGCCCAACAGTACCTACGTAGTAAGCAAAGTTGGTGTATCTGCTCTTACTCGTATTCAGCAGCGAGCTTTTGATGCTGACCAACGTCCTGATATGGTGGTGAACAGTTGTCATCCAGGATTTGTAAATACTGACATGATTACCCACAGGGTTAGTTACACACATTTGTCTAAAATTTAATTTTTACCTTCAAACATCACTCTTAAGTGGTTATCACACTGGGCAAATTTTCTGCATTATGTTTTTGGTCAGATATTTCACATGAAACTGAGATACAGTGCAGGTATGTGGAAAACGGAAGATACAGGCGTTCTCGGGCAAGTCTTGGCTGTATTTCAGGTCCAATTGAAGTCTTATAGTATTAAAATTGAAATCCAGCAATTTCATTAAAACCAATGTACAGTACTGTATTAATAAAAATATTAATTGACTCATACAAATATATTATAAAAATATTGTTTATACATACAAATGAAAATTACAGATACCATTTCCTTTGCGTATTGTATATACAGTATAATCTGCATTTATGCGGTTTTTGTTTACGCTTTTGGTCATTTACACGGTACCTTGCCTGAATGAAATGTTTTAATTACGCGGTAAATTTCATCATTTACGCGGGAAGCGGCGCGGGCAGGGTGCGCACAAGGTCGCCCAATCATGAAAACATTACCGAGTTCTTCACCCGCCACTCACCACAGCCGGCCCAAGTCAGTGATAGTGATAGTGAGGATATGGACTTTGAGGGGTTTGACAAAGAAGCCCTGCAAGCCTCTGTGGTGGATAGTGATACATGTGATACAGGTGAGGGCCAATAATCTGCCCTGTGCCTCGGAACCAACCCCCCCATCCCCGTGTGCCCAGCCATCTTTTCTACTAACGTAAGTGTTAAAAAACCTAATGTTATTGATATTTCTCTTAAATATTAATTGTGTGTGCATACCATCATAAAATTAAGATGTTATTTTTACTACAACATACGTATTATGTCGGAAAAAGTGGAGTTTGGGAGTCGGCCCAGTCTCTATTTCAATTAATCCCATATGTTCTGTTATTTCGTTTACGCGTTTCTCGTTTTACGCGGACCTCCACGGGTTCAATTGACCGCGTAAATGCAGACTATCCAGTGAGCACAGCTAGCAGGATTCTCAAGTCTCATGAATTATTTGGACAAGGGACTCTGAAACTTCCATTGTTGGTAGAGAGATGGAATGCAGTGTGTTGTGGGATTTCAGACATCCATTGTATATCAAGAAATCCTTAAAAAGGCACAAATCTTGTGAATGACCTGTTATCTTTGTTATTGTTTTGTTCTGAGTGAGGGCGATACGTGAAAGGTACTGAAACTGAGTGGGTGATTGGAAATGCCAATTTTTTTTCCAAGAACGGTTGAAATTTTGCCGAGTGTGTTACCCTATCTATCTGTTAATCTTACTTTCCAAAGTGCTTTTGATCCTCTTCTTCCCTGCCCCCTATAGTACAGTTGTCTTTTATTTTATGCTTGTCAATTTTTAGTTTTATGACATTTTGTACTGATTAATAAGTTTGCTGAAAAACTTACTTTCTTTTACAGTTTTTATTTCAGATGGTGAATACAGTGCTATCCCATTAGCCAGAATAAATGGTGCAGAGCGGGATTGAGAGATTTCCTGGTATTTTGACGAATTTTCTCATCCCAGGAATTTTTCTGGGTACTGGGGAATGTTTTCCTAGAGTCTAAACTATGCATCTTGCATGGGCAGACACAGAGCTGCATTTATTTATGCAAACAACACTGTACACATACAAAATACAGTACAGTATTGTAAATAAACAAAATATACTACTGTATAGCATACACTTATACACTACAGTGTACTGTACTTACCAGCAGATGCTGATGATACAGATTGGCAGGTGTAGCAGGTGTTGGTGTGGTGCTGTTACTCCACTCTCCCTCCTTCACAAAGGGATTGGACACGCTCTGTATACTCTACATATACACCCTCTACACACCAGCATACACGGTCCACTCTGCTAGCTACAGTACTGTACATATGGTACTTTCATACTTACTGAATGTGCAGTACAGTTTATATATCTGTAATCACTTTTTATGTCTTAACACTGGTTTAACGGTATACTTGGCTGATCATATGGTAGTACAGTACATTACAGTACTGCATAACACAGATCCTATGCAAAAATGACAGTGAGTGAGCAAAGATTGTCATAATGCAAGAATTTGAGGAGATAGACTACAAGATACATCAGCCAATCATAGGCATCCCATGCAGTCACATGACAGCAGTAGCCAATTGTAGCTCACAGGCACTCTGAGCCTACCCACCCATGCACCTGGCACACATCCCTGTTTTGGACACATGCTGCAATCCTCAGAAATTCACTCCCATACCTGGAATGGAGAGAATTTTCCCGTAATTTCTCGGAATGCTTAAAAAAAAAAATGGCTACTGGAGAGTTTCGGGGATTGAAGAAGATTCAGACTAACGTTGAGATAATTGTATAGTTTTAACTGTTTTTGGAAATCAGCCCAGACTTGGGGAGGTGGGTATTTCTTGTCTGAAGGACTTAAATATACTGTACTTATCCTCTCAAATTCTTACCCTGGCTTCAGCTAATTAAAATTTCAGATGAACTTGATAACAATATTAGTGTTCTTAGCTTACGTTTTAGGGTAGTGTGTTCATCCTGCTGTTCAAGGTGATGTAAACCCTCTCAGCCTTGGAGCCTGAGACACATGCATGCATGAAAACTTATCCTCAGCCTCGGAGGTTTTTGCCAAAAAATCAAAGAATATTTTTTTTTTCTGGCTCATTTTACTGCCATGGAATTGTTTTATTAATTGTAATGGGGTCTCTTCTATCATAAAATTGTCTGAAAAATTGTATGAAACCATAAAAAAATTGAAAATTCTTGAAGTTTAAGCCATTTTTTTTTAGTATAAGTTGAAAAAGTAGGAAAATGTTTAGTAACATCTCTATTTCCATTCACATTTTCCTTGTACAGTATTATGGTGTTCATTGATTTGTACTATATACCAAAATAAAGAACAGAGCATGTAGAATATTGTGGTATAAGGAAAAATAATATAACACAAAAATTCATGGAATAATTAAAGGGCCGAGCAGCGCACCCTCCTTTCGCTCAAATAGCCAGAGCAACAATGTTCACTGAATAGTTTTTGAGTTGTTTGAAAATATAGCCCATTGGACGTGTTGGCGTCACAAGGCTAAGCTTAATTTTTTTTGCCTTTTATGTTCGACGCCACAGTGGCGTCGTGCAAGGCTGAGAGGGTTAATAAAGTTGGCTAAGCGACATGCCACTGTTTTCCAGTACAGTACTGTTACAGTATTCATATCTCATATATATACAGTAGAACATCGATATAACACAAGATATGTTTTCCAAGAGAGGTCGCCAATGAATATTGTGCAAGTTTTTATTCAGATGATTTCGTCAATCAGGTTCAACTCTGGCTGAAGCTGAAGCTTTCCATAAAGATATCATAGCTGTTGCTGAATCTGTTACTGAACCTGAAGTTGTTGCTAAAGCTGCTTATAATGCTGAATTTGATGGTGTAGCTGAAGTTGGTGGTTTAGGCCTTTGAATAATAAAGCTGTCGAAAGAACCTTTCACAGCCGCTTTCTTTTCTCATTATACGACTTTATGTAGAGGTCATGTATGTTTTTCACGTCCCTGTTAATTTTAATGCTTCGTTCTGTTAATGAATCCACTTCAGAAAACAATATTATGTTCGTTGCTTGCTCCATATAATATCCACTGACCTCTCACCTTTTTCATATCATTTTAACACATCTAGTCTCTCGGCTAAGCTTATACATTTTCTTTTAGCTTTTGAACCAGCACTATCATATCTGTTCTCGTGCTCATGTTGAATAGGGATGCAAAAAATGCCATAAAAAACCTGAGAATGTTTTTCTCCTTTTTCTGTTCAGATGCGTGAAAACAAAGGGCCCGCCAGCTGCGACTGTTTATAATACAGTGGTCCCTCGGTTAACGAACACAATTCGTTCCAGAAGGTCGTTCGTTAACCGAAACCATTGTTTCAATGGGATTTTGGGTAATTGGTTCCAGCTCACCGAAAATTATATACAAACTAAAAATAAATGCAGTAAAGTACACTTACTTTGAGGTGTGCATGTAGAAGGCTCCTGGTTGATGATGATGATGATAGGAATTAGAAGTGGGGGTGGAGGAGAAGAGAAGGCAGTGGGGTGGAAGAGAAATCACCCCATGCTTCATGCTACCATTTCACCCATAAAATTTTAAGTTCACTTGGTGTAATTCAAGATTACTTTCTTTAAATCAACACTGCACTGCACTATATATTGTCAATATGTAAAATAAATTTCAGAATGACCAAAAATTGTACTGTAAAAACGTAAAAATAATTTATGTTCAAGAGAGTCTCAAGCAAGATGCTTCCTCCACTGAGCAGACACAAACTGACGCCATTCTGGGTGAGTCAAGTGGCTGTTTGGCACACTAAAAACTAGTTCCCTGTACTTCAATTATGTTTAATAATTGTTAAAATGACTAAAAATTTTAATATAAGACTTGGAAAATTATTGAATAGTACAACCTTCTTGATATTTACTCAAATGGTAACGAATTTAAGCCCTAAAACCGGACTAATTCTCCAGCTGGTAAGCAGGCGAAAACATGTTGACACGATTTCGTAAGGATTTCGTTAACCGAATTTTTGTTCGTTAATCGAGTTGAAGATTCTTATGGAAGGTAATTCGTTAACCGAAATTTTGTTAACCGAGGCGTTTGTTAACCGAGGATCACTGTACTAGTGATGCTGGCGTTGCCTTCACAAGCCCAGCAGCCACCGTGTGCAATGCCTGTTTTTTTTTTTTTTAATACATATCGGGATTTAGTTATTATTTACAGTAGTATATAAAAATTTAATTTTACTTTATTTTTAATAAAATTTTTGTTGTAAATACGAAGGAAATAATGGTATAAATTGTATTGGGTCCTAAATTAACCAGGGTCTTAAATATGAATCGTCGTTAGTAGAACTGTCGTTATGGGAGGCTTTCCTGTGTGTATATATATATATATATATATATATATATATATATATATATATATATATATATATATATATATATATATATATATATATATATATATATATATATATATATATATATATATATATATATATATATATATATATATATATATATATATATATATATATATATACTAGACCCCGACTTACGACTACCGACTTACGACCGTCGGGACTTACGACCGCCTCAGATATAGATAAAAAAAAAAAATTCAAATGACACACGCATTTTCTATACCGAAACGTTTCCAGTTAATGTAGTCTCCATGTATAATTAGAAAATTATGGGGGCCCCATGTGCATTCAGCTGACTACATTAAAGGTTAAGTGCTCAGTCACACTGTATCCATTCCTTATTATTTATTACTTTCACTGTACTGTATCCATTCATCATTATTCATTACTTTTACTGTACTGTATTTCATTGTAGATTTTTTATTAAAAAAAAATTTTTATTTTTTTTTTTTTATCTATGTCGGACTTACGACCATGTCGGACTTACGACCTGGATTTGGGTCCCTAACCCCGTCGTAAGTCGGGGTCTAGGTGTGTGTGTATATATATATATATATATATATATATATATATATATATATATATATATATATATATATATATATATATATATATATATATATATATATATATATATATATATATATATATATATATATATATATATATATATATATATATATATATATATATATATATATATATATATTTTTTTTTACGGGGATTAGCCCACCCAGGCACTGGTCACTGACCCACATCAAGGCCTGGAGGGTGAAAATATAATAATAATAACAATAATAATAATAATAATAATAATTATAATAATAATAATTAATAAAATAAATAATAATAATAATAATAATAATAATAATAATAATAATAATAATAATTAATAAAATAAATACTACTACAGGTTGACAACCATTTATCCGAAATTCCAAAAACCGAAAAGCTCTAAAAACCTAAAGTTTATTTTGTGGGCAAAACTTTTTTTTTTTTTTTTAACAGGGATTAGCCCACCCGGGCATAGATCACTGACCCACATCGGGGCCTCGGGGGGCGAAAATGTAATCGCAATAATAATTATAATAATTATTCATAGTAAATAAAAGTTTTAATAAAAATACACCAAAATAAAATAATAATGATAACAATAATATTAATAAAATATAATAATAAAGTTAATAATAATAATAACAATATTTTTGTAAAAATAAAATAATAATAATAATAAAGAAATACAAGAATGAAAAAAAAAAGATCAAAGGTGAGAAACAAGACCTAGACCTATGAATTGTTATTATTATTATATATTATAATCTTTATTATATTTTCGCCACCCAGGCCCCAATGTGGGTCAGTGACTTGTGCCCGGGTAGGCTAAAAAAAAAAAAAAAATTAATCATTTTGAAAACTGAAAAATTCTGAAATCCGAAATGCCTCTGGCCCCAAGGAATTCGGATAAGGGATTGTCGACCTGGACTACTACTACTACTACTACTGCTGCTACTACTAATAAATAAACAAATGGAAAAATAAATCAAGAGTGAGAAACGACAGTGTAAATGAGGCAGAAAGTCAGATCAGCAACTTGGGACCTGGTCAAAATTTTTGTGATGCCATATGGTAGCAAGGTCTACTATCAGACAACAGTATTCATATCTCATATGAGTACAGTACAGTACAGCACAGTATTCAGATCTCATGACTACAGTACAGTACACTACAATACAATATTCATATCATGAGTACAGTACAGTACAGTATTCATATCTCATATATCCAAACCAGTACTTTATACAGTATTCATTGGATAGTATTCAAGTTGTCTGTTCTTTGTTCTCTGAAAGCACTCATAGGTCTTTTGTAATTGAGGCACTGCATTAGAAGGGGGTGAAGTGACTCCCCGGCCAAAATGCGTTTTTTGATGGAAATCACTATTTTTACCCTTCATCTATATGTTGGCGTTGGATGTAACCCTCTAGCTAGAATAGAAATGTGGTAGAAAGTCATTAAAAAATAAGGTGTGATTTTGCCTCAGGCCTGGAGCTACGTATCTGGCTGTGCGCTCAGTCAAAGAAGGTGTCAACGTCTCGTTCAGAGCGAGAGGAGCGCGAGCCAATGACAGTGCGCCTCCCTCGGACCATACCCCCCGAGGCAGCCAATCACAATGGATTTCCCCTTGCTACGTCACAGCTCCTCGGTCAATCCGCGCACCCAGATGCTGCCTCCTTGTTAGTTTTGGCGCATTTTATAGCTTAAAGAGGTTCAGTGTACTTTCTACTGCTATTTTTGATAACTTTTCAGCGTACCATTGACGTTATCATGTTACACGGGTGTGAGAAGTGCTCTGCATAATCTGCCCGATATTAGAGCAAGACTCGAATGAGGCTAGGCCTTCTTCTGGTGTGGTTTCAGGAGCCCATTATTCCTGAGCGTGTGTTTAGTGACGATAATGCTCACGTGGACATGCAAGGAATGCTTGGTGATAGTGATAGTGATTTTGGTATACAGTACTGTACCCATAATACAAAAAGAGACTGCTATGCATCACAAGACCGTTTTGCAAACTGTATTCCGGTACAGAATTATGTGACATGCACTGACGGCAATAATGACGATGAAAGTGAATATGAAAATGATGAAAGTGAGTCTAGTGGTAAAACAAACAGTGACACTAATGTGTCACAACAAGAACATACAGACTGTGAAGAGGTAGAAGTGGACAGTGACGAGACATACATTGACCTTGATAGTGATAAAAGTGAGCCTTACCCAACGAATGCTAGTGAAAGTAAGCCCATACCTCAGTCTTATAATGAAATTGAACTGTTGCCGGCATCAATTATCAATGATCTAGTTGATGAAGAATCTGTGTGGCAATTTTTAGAGAATGCAGAGAAAGACTTTGATCGGTACGTGATTGATTATGACGAGGCCATTAAAGTTATACTCACTCCTCAGGATTTATGTAACTTCAAGATGCTGTACTACGATTTTCAGGGATATTAAAACGAAGGAACTAAACAAAGTAAGATTGTAATACTATTATCATAATACTGTTTTTTCCCAAGATTAAGCAAACTTTCTCCACCTTTGTATTCGTATGTTAATTACGTTGGGGGTGGGGTGAGTGTAGTGGTGTTTCCTTATTATTGCACACTATTATACTTAACAATATTATAAATCTTTTGCTAATACAGGTTGTACCTCTCTAGTCCGGCATTCTGTGGTCCGGAAACTCCAATGGTCCGGAACGATTTTAGTTTGTCCAATAGGTAGATAGGCAGCTTTTTTTTTTTTTTTTTTTTTTTTTTTTTTTTTTTTTTTTTTTTTTTTTTACTTCTCTGAATTATTATTACAGGAGTATTAAATTTTTGCCCCTCAGGCCCCAATGTGGGTCAGTGACCTATGCCCGGGTGGGCTAATCCCCTTAAAAAAAAAGAAACAGCCGCGGGAAATTAAGGTTTGTTTACATCCGGCAGTTCGGCTGCTCTCTCTCTCTCTGCTTGTCTATACAGAGTACAACATTTAACCCTTCAATATATATGAGCAGTAAATAAGTGTTGCTTTCATATTCTTATGTAGAGTAATGACGATATGTTTTCACATGTGCGCACTTACATACGCGCAGTCTCACTTTTTTTTTACCATTAATGGTTAGCTACTTATATTGTTCCATTTATTAACATTAAATAACATTACAGGTACTTCAAGCAACCATATTCATTTTTTACATTAATTTTACTACAGCTAAACTCAGGGTCTTATTTTCTTCAGTTTTATATGTAGAACCAATCAGTCACTGGTTTCGTAAGCTTTAACATAAACAATGCCGGCAGCCGTCTCGTCTCCTCTAATATTCCACGTATTATTAATAAATTGTATTGTTAATTTTGCACACACGTACATTAATTCAATAAAAACAAATTCAGAAACATTAATTAAAATATATATGAACAGTAAATAAGTGTTGCTTTCATATTCTTATGTAAAGTAATGATGATATGTTTTCACGTGTGCGCATGCGCACTTACATATGCGATCTCTCTTTTTCTTTACCATTATCGTTAGCTACTTCTATTGTTCCATTTATTAACATTAAATAACATTACTTAAAACAACCATATTAATTTTACTACAGCTACAACCAAGGTCTTATTTTCTTCAGTTTTATATGTAGAACCAGTCAGTCACTGGTTTTGTAATCAACGAAAACAATGCTGTGTCATTTCCTCATGTGTTTTAATTTTCTACGTATTATTAATGAATTGTATTGCTCATTTTGCACACATAAACATTAATTCAATAAAAAAGACATTCAGTAATAAACAATAATGAATCTTTTGTACATAAGAGAAATGACGCTGTTTACACGATTATGCACGTCGTCTGCACGTTGGCGGGCCGTTCAAACCCGTCGAAATTCAAGTTTCCGCCGTCAAAATTTTTATTTATTTATTTTTTTGTGTGTTCCAATAAAATACGTTAAGAATTAAAAACTCGCGAAATTTGAGAAGCTACTATACGACATTTAACCCTTCAATATGTCTTCAAAGAGACCATGACGCAGAGAAAGTGGTGCTAGTGCTTCCAGGCATAAGCACAAGTCACTATCTATCCAGGAAAAGGGTGAATTTCCATGGTCCTGCAATTTCCATGGTCCGGCACCGGTCAGGTCCCGAGGTTGCCGGACTAGAGAGGTACAACCTGTATATATATATATATATATATATATATATATATATATATATATATATATATATATATATATATATATATATATATATATATATATATATATATATATATATATATATATATACTGTACACTGTATATATATTTATATTTATCGCCGCTTGGGCGGTCGGTCACGTCTCTGTTACGCACTGTTGGCAAGTACAGTACTCCCTCTTTATCGACGGGGGTTACGTTCTGTAAACGGCAGTCGATAAAGAAACCGTCGATACCGTGATGGTTACGTAATTTTTCTAACTATTATTAGCATATGTTGAATAAATGTACCTTTAAGCATTAATGCGTTTCCTTTACACATAACCTTAAATAATAGTGTATAAATAATAATATAATAAGTGGACAAAAATACTAGCAAACTTACCATTTAATTTATTGAAGTGAACATCGGTCCTTACAGTAAACAATACAGTATATACAGTATATACAAGTGTGATGATTGAGGCTTATTAAAAGCCTGACCAGTCAGATGAGTATGATTAGTCAAGGTCTGCATCTTCTTGAGGGGTGTGGGCAGGTACTGCGTCTTATTGTTGTGAGGTGCCGGCAGCTTCTACGTCTTGTTGTTGTTGTGAGGTGTCGGCAGCTTCTGCCTCCTGTTGCAGGATGCCGGCAGGTTCGGCGATGGCAGGCACTCGGCGACTGAAGAAGTTGGTGATGGTGGTCTGTGCTTTCTTGCTTCTCATTTCCCTCTGCAGTTCTATATATGGCAACATAACATTTTCAATAGCTCTCTTTGCTTTAAGGGACCTATCAAGGGAGGGATCAATGTCATAGAGACGAGCAGAGAGGGCCTTACTCATTCTTATTACTTCACCAAGATTATCTAAAGTTAAGTTCTTATTTTCATCATCACTCACTTCATCGTCTGTTTCATCCTGCAGCTCCACTAATTGTTCTAGTTCATCACTTGTAAATGGGTCCCCAACATTTCCCAATAACTCTTCTTGCACCTCTGCCGCTGTTAGGTCAGAGAACCCTTCACCTCCAACTTCATTTGCCATAGTTATTATGTTGCGTAACTGAGGCTCGGCTGTTGGGAACCCTGTGAATGTTGGGACAATTTCAGGCCACAATTTTTTCCAACATGATCGGACACAGTTCTGCGACAGTTCATTGTGGCTTTCAGCGATGAAGTTTATGCACTGCGCAATATCAAATTTCTTCCACATTTCTCTGGGCGTCACATCAGCATCCTTATCAAGGCACTCACGAATCATGCTGAAAGTCTTCTCTGCATATTTAGCCTTAAACACGACAATGACTCCCTGGTCCATTGGCTGGATGATGGAGGTGGTGTTTTTTGGCAGGAAAACCACCTCAATGTTGGGGTGGGCAGTCTTGAGTTCTTCAGAGTGGCCAGGGCAATTATCTAGACATAATACCACTTTGAACTCCATGCCAAGTTCATCCAGATAATTTTTCACCTCTCTAGCAAAGCAGTTTTTCAGCCAATCCACGCACAAATCAGATGTCATCCACGCTTTCTTGTTGTTCCTGTAGAAAACTGGTAGCAAGTTCATGTTTTTATTTTTGAGAGCCCGAGGTCGTGCGGCAGTGTATAACAACATGGGCTTAATCATATGCCCTGCCGCATTCCCACATAGCATCACTGTCACTCGGTCCTTCGCAACTTTAAATCCAGGGGCACTTTTTTCCTCTTTAGAGATGTAGGTTCGGCGTGGCATCTTCTTCCACCATAGGCCTGTCTCATCAGCATTAAAAACTTGTTCCGGCCTATAACCCTTTTGTGCTATGTGGTTAGCAAACTCTGCAGGGTATGCTTCCCCTGCCACAGTGTCTGCTGATGCTGCTTCGCCAGTCACTTTTATATTATGCAGCCCATAACGATGTCTGAATTTCTCAAACCATCCTTTGCTAGCTGCAAATTTTTTCAAATTGTCACCATCACCATCACCCTGATCATCACCATCACCATCACCAACACCATGATCATCACTTTTAGAAAACCTATCATAAAGTTCCTTAGCTTTCTGCCTAATAAATTTCGAGTCAAGTGGTATGCGGCGGCGGTTTAGGTCCTCTATCCAAATGTTCAGTGCTTTTTCCATTTTAATGAGGGCATCATCACGCACATGGCTTGTCACTTTTGATGTCACTGGTGCACTTGAAGCTAAAGCGTGCTTCAGATCCTTTGCACGTCGTTTAATTCCACGCACACTGGATTCGTTGAGCCCAAAGTGGCGGCCAACAGCTGCATAGCTCATACCGCTGTCGAGTTGTTTCAGCACTTCATTCTTCTCATTCAGCGTCAGCACTCGTCTTGCCCTCTTAGGTGTAGATCCAGAGGGAGCAGCAGGTCGTTTGGGAGGCATAGTGATATAAGTTCATGTGATGAATCACCAGCAAAAGTTGAAAATCAAAGACTGTTGCCCACTCGGCTTGGCTGATGTTTGTGTTCAGGGAAGGCGGGCCGCGGGTAGGCGCTAGTCACGCCACTAGTGCCGCCTAGCGGCGAAAGTACAAACAAGGCCCGCGGAGTTCAAATAAAGCCAAAATAAAAATCCCGGCTAAATAATCCGTCGATAATCGAAACCGCCGATAAAAAATCCGTCGATAAAGAGGGAGTACTGTACTAACTTCCAGTTTTCACAGTTTGCTAGGAAATGGATTGAGCTGCATGATAAAAAAAATGAACCCTCTAACTTAAAAAAAAAAAAGTTATGGTTGTTTGAACTTCAAAAAACTTTAAACGCATTTTTCTCAGCCTTTTGAATTTGGCGCTTCACCCCCCTTCTAATGCAGAGCGCCTCAATTGAAAGTTATAGAAAACTAGTACTTTTGAAAAGAGGAATGAGGATGATTTAATTGATACAGAAAGCTTGAAGAAGACATCACTGTTGAGAAGTTTTTGTTGAAATACAAAATGTGTTGAAAAGTACAAAGCAGTTTACATACTGTGCAGTATTGTAATCAAATTGAATGATGAGGTGCAGTGACTGAGGTTAGGAATTTCTCATTTGTTATTGAAGAATGATGTGAAACAATAACTTGTTTGAATAAAGTGATTTGAACTCCACATTTCAATTCAGTGGTGTCTCGGTTAACGAACGCTTCGGTTAACGAAATTTCGGTTAACGAATTACTTTCCATAAGAATCTTCAATTAGGTTAACGAACAAAAATCCGATTAACGAAATTCTTACGAAAACATGTCGACATGTTTTGGCTTGCTCATCGGCTGGTAGGTTAGTCCGCCAATATAGTAATCAGTCCTAGGGCTTACATTCGTTTCCATTGGAGTAAATATCAAGAAGGTTGTGATATTCAATATTTTTCCAAGTTTTATATTAAAATTATTAGTAATTTTAACACTTATTTAACATAATTGCAGTACAGGGAACTAGTTTTTGGTGCACCCATCAGCCACTTCACTCACCCACCAAGGCATCTGCTTGAGTCTCTGTTCAGTGGAGGAAACATCTTGCTTAAGGGTCTCTTGAACACAGAGTATTTTTACGTTTTTACAGTACAATTATTGGTCATTCTGAAATTTAACATATTGATAATATATAGCGCAGTGCAGTGCTGATTTAAAGAAAATAATCTTGAATTACACCTAGTGAACTTAAAATTTTATTGATGAAATGACTGCATCAAGCATGGTTTCCTGAAAGGTGATTTCTCCTCCATCCCCACTTCCTTCTCTTCTTCTTCTCCTCCACCCCACTTCTAATTCCCATCATCATCATCAACCAGGAACCTTCTACATACACACCTCAAAGTAAGTGTACTTTAATGCATTTTTTTATACTTTGTATGTACTTTTCGGTGAGCTGGAACCAATTACCCAATATCCCATTGAAACAATGGATTCGGTTAACAAAATTTTTGGTTAACGAACGACCTTCTGGAACGAATTGTGTTCATTAACCGAGGGACCACTGTACTGTATTTACTTTTTACCACTACAGTAAAGCCTCCGATAACGATGGTTCAACTAACGAAGATTCATATCTAAGACCCAGGTTAATTTAGGACCCAATTCAATTTACGCCATTATTTTCTTTGTATTTACAACAAAATAAAAAAAATATATTAGATTTTCGTATAAATGATAACTACAGTAAATCCCAATATTATAAAAAAAAAAAAATGCCCTGCACATGGAGGCTGCTGGGCTTGTTAGTGGTGACGCCAGCATCACTAGTATAAACAATCGCAGCTGGCGGGCTCTTTGTTTTCATGCATCTGAACAGGAAAAGGAGAAAAACTTTCAGGTTTCTTACATCAATTTTGCATCCCTATTCAACATGAGCAAGAGAGCAAGTGATGGGAGTGTTGTTTCATAATCTAATAGAAAGTGTATAAGCTTAGACGAGAAACTAGATGTGTTAAAACGATATGAAAAAGGTGAGAGGTCTGTGGATATTATATGGAGCAAGCAATGAACATATTTTCTGAAGTGGATCCATTAACAGAACAAAGCATTAAAATTTAAATAAACACAAATGACCTCTACATAAAGATGTATAATGGGAAAAGAAAGCAGCTGTGCAAGGTTCTTTCGACGGCTTTATTATTTGAAGGCCTAAACCATCAAATTCAGCATCATAAGCAGCTTCAACAACAACGTCAGGTTCAGTAACAGTTTCAGCAACAGCTTTATGGAAAGCTACAGCTTCAGCCAGAGTTGAACCTGATGATTTCATCATCTGAGTAAAAACTCTTACATCATTGGCTGTCCTTATGTTTTAGAGTTTACCACTATTTCTGATTAAAATTTTTTTTGTTTTACATTAGTAAGTATTATTTAAAACATACATGAACAGTAATAAGTGTTCCTTTCATATTCTTATGTTGAGAAATGACGATGTTTTCACATGTACGCACTTACATACGATGGCTAGGGTGTGACCTTTGTCCTACAATGCTGTTCAAAATTTTGGTGTTGCATATTGACATAAAAAATACCCACGTGCAATTTTTTGAAGATTCATGCATATTTGAGTGAGGAGCAATTTGAAAAATAGCGATTTTACTTATACGGCATACGCGCCTATATATGAGATTACACAACCATCATAAGGGATATTAACACAAATCATTTGCCTGTCTTAATTAAAAGCTGCTATCACTAACAAAAAAGTTCATCAATCTTATTCTCTCATGGTACATTAAGGGGTTTTATCATATATTCACAAGGTATTATTTCTCTAGAGCAAGAAACCATGATTTCTGTTCGGAAACAGATGATCGTTTGCGCTGATTAGGAACGCGGAGTCTGTCATTTTCAACTACTTGAAGGACTTCTTGAAAGTGCTCCTCATCCCTGGCAACATTAAGAAAGTCATGGCAAAGTTTTACCCCACGCTCTGCAGCCTCATTGACGACCTGAAGCTTGTCCACAACCCATTTCATGTTCAGGTAGTCGTCATGATCCGCCCATTCATTGGCTGGACTGTGGAGAAACTGATAGGGCATGCCTAAAATGGTGAAGAACCAGCTTGAGTCAGGCCCACATGCAGATATAAGGGTCGTGAGATGTTGTTTCGAAAACTGCATGAAACAAGTTCTGCTGACCTCAGAATATCATGGGGCACAAAAATTGAAACTCCCTCTTTCACTGTTCTCCGATGTTTTCTCTTTGGTTCAGCAGTGCTGGCCGCATCAATGTCATCGTCCTCATCAGAGCTAATAGGTGAATAAATATCAGCCTGTACATTCTTAGCATGATCACATTGCTCTCTCTCTCTCGCTCTCTTGTCGCTTCTCTTCTCGCATCTGCCTTTTCTGTCGATTCTGAACCTATTCTGTGAGTACTTTATTTACCCCAGTGTAGGTAGCTGCTCTGTCACTTAGCATGCTTTTCATAAAGAGTATGTCAGTATCGATAGCATCTTGTTCGGCCTGAGTTTTCCCCTTTTTTGCAGCCGCCATGTCTTTCAACACTGTGTTCTTATAAAATTTCATCTTCAGGCTCAATTGATTACTTCATAATTCCAGGATCATCAGCCCGTCTTCTATCCTCATTCTTTTCATAAGCATCATGTAGTCTTTGTCATAGTAAGTTTTAATTACTCAGCTAATATTGTTCCTGCCTGTAATGGTCGGGACATTCGCCTTCTGGTAATGCAAAGCACATTGTCAATGGTGGCAGATAAAGCCTGGTCCCAATGCAAATCGAAGGTTTGCTAACAGACATGGTAAGATCTGCCTATTAGTTGGCAGTTTGCAGCCCTTTATTTCCTTTTCTTCTTGCTGTAGATCGGTGCCCAATAACATCATTCTGACATACTCATCATCTTGCCTGTATCCATGATTAAATTCTCTATTCACAACATCAAATCACTGTCAAAGGAAAAGAAAAGAGCATCATTAAAATTAAATGCAATAAAATAATCGTGGAAAATTTTGTGGGTCAGCGTTCCAGACCCAGAAATGAAAATCTGATAAATGTGCTATTTTCACACTTATTTATGAAGTTCATAAGCTGAAATAGCAATACTTGTAATGCAGCGGTGCTAGCTCAAACATGCACCGATCTCCAATAAAATTTACAGGGTTTTTCTAGATAAATACACAACACTCAAACTTTGAACAGCATTGTAGGACCATTTTTATTTTTTTGGAGGGCAACGGTCACACCCTAACGATGGCGTTCCCAATCTATTTTTATTTATTTTTCACGATTAATGGTTAGCTACTAATATTGTTCCATTTATTAACATTAAATAACATTACTTAAAACATACATATTAATTTTTTTACATAAAGGTTTCTACAGCTACAACCAGGGTCTTATTTTCTTCAGTTTCTTATGTAGAATCATCATCACTCATGAAAACAATGCTCTCTTTTCTTCCTGTGTTTTATTATTCTACGTATTATTAATGACCTGCATTGTTCATTTCAATTATATAAACATTTATTCAATCAAATAGAGACTCAATAATAAATAATTATGAATCTTTTGTACAAGTACTAGCCTAAATCAAGACCGACCCTTTAATCCGGATTTCGATAATTCGGACAATATCTATTTTTAAGATTTGTAGGAATATTACCATGCCGGACTTGCTTGCTGGTCCACCCACTGCTGATAAACATAACATCTCCACCACTAGTGGAGGGGGGATGCAACTTTTAGCTTCATACGAAAAATATTTACCATTTACTGCCAGTAAACAATGGAAACAAAAATATGTACCAATTAGTAATGAAAAGTTGTGCAGTTCCTTCAGCAAATGAAGTCACTTAACTTACAATAGGCTAAATTACTCTAAACAACGTGTTTCAGTAGTCTATGTTGAGTTCTTAGCTCAGGCTAACTTATCATATCATATAATGTATCACACTTCATTGATCTACAAAAA